CTTTTGCAACAAATGTGCCTACATTAAGAAGAGTTGACATAGCTTAATTTTAGTTGATTCAGACAGCATTAGGCAAAAGGAATGCAAAAATTCATTACCTTATTAGAAATATAGTAGATAACAAGTTGCTCTTATGTTTCATTGTAGAATTAAAGTATTAACATAAAAAACTAATGACTATTAAACCTGATTTATTGGCTATCTCTGTGTTGTAATGTGTAATCATTCAGTCCAAAAGTATGCCTTTGCTTCTTTATATGTTACAATCCTAGTATGAAATTCTCTCAATAGGACTATGATGCTATCAAAAAAATTAAGTATTACCCCTGGTAATGAATTTCTCAGAATTCATTTGCAGAGTCTACAGAATGTAGAATAGCAATAGCAATAGCATTTAGACTTATATACCACGTCACAGTGCTTTACAGCCTCTCTCTAAGCGGTTTGTAGAGTCAGCATGTTGCCCCAACAATCTGGGTCATCATTTTACCCACCTTGGAAGGATGGAAGGCTGAATCAACCTTGAGCCAATGAGACCTGAACTGCCAAACTTCTGGCAACTGGTGATCAGCAAGAAGTAGCCTGCAGTATATCTAACCACTGCACCACCACGGCTCCTAATACCCTTCAGCATGGGGAATACGTTGTATGTTTAAGTCTCAGGCTATTGTGAGATTTGTAGCATGCTAAAATAAAAGACGAGATCCTGAAAGGACAGAGAGGACATTATAGTTTTATGATAAGTGGTATCTCAAGGTATCTTTTTTTTTAAAAGAAGGCTAGACATTCAAGAAAGGCTAACTTGTCTTGGTTCTTTCTAGATGTTCTCCAGGTTACTATGGACATCCTAGAGTACCAGGTGGCAAATGTCAGCAATGTCAGTGCAACCAAAATGGTTCTCTCCATCACCACTGTGATCATATTTCTGGGCAGTGTGTTTGTAAGCAAGGTGTAACAGGACAGTTGTGTGATCAGTGTGATTCAAGGCACATTCTTGTGGAGAATGAATGTGTTTGTAAGTGCTTTATTTTTATTTTTCCCATTTGCTTTTTAGGTTGAAGTGTGCCTAGAATGGGAACTGATAAGTGCTGTTTAGTATTATTCAATCTATAAGATATTGCAGCATGAAGCATATTTGTTCAGTTACATTCTTTAAAAAATGTTGTTTGTATTTTGGATATGACAGCTAAATAGATGAAGCTATTGAATAGTGTAAGTATTCCTGTAAGGAAAAGTGTAAGTATAAATATAGTGTAAGTATTCCTGTAAGGAAAAGAAAGGAAATAGTTACAGAAAGAAATGCACATATAGAGAAGGAATAAAATTGCATAAATTTAAAAATATCCACTTAATATATTTATTTGTTGTGCATAGTTTCCACTTAACAAAGTTCTCCACTTAACAAAATTTGAGGGTTAAGAACTCTGTTTTCTGATCAATAAAGAATTATTGAGGAATAAAAAGCAGTGTGGAGGAATGAATGTAAATTCAATTAGTGAGAGAGTTACTCTAGATTCTCTGTTGGAAATAGTGGTTTTCAACATATGCATAGTTACCTGGAGTTATTATTTAGTATAATTATAAAGAAGTGGCAATGAAGAACTCCAAAAATGTTTCAGAAACTGAAGGAATGAGTTTCTAAATGGTAAATGCCATGAATGCCATGAATTAAAGTACATTATAAAATTTGTAACCATGTATATGATGATAATCTAACCATGAAAGAGTCTCTGAAGTTGTGTGGGTTTTTCCTTTATACTGTATTTTGGAGGCCAAGCATGAGACTCTAAAGAGATATCACAAAGGTTGTCATTCTTGTGTTAATGAAATAATCTGTTTTTAAGAGGTACAAATGTGGGGGCTGCCTCTCTCCTTTTTTGTTTTTGGAATATCTTTCACTTTCTGTTTAGTTTATGAGTATACAAAACTTAATGTAAGCATTAATATAATATGTGTATTAACATGAAAACAAAATCTATAAATTCTTTCTTCAGCTTGTGATGATGACTGTACAGGGCAGTTGTTGAATGATCTGGATAATTTTGACAAAGCCGTGCATTTGGTAAACTTCACTGGTGCTATCTTGGCACCTTATGGAGCACTTTCAGACTTGGAAAATGCCACAAAACATTTAAAGGTGTGTAAGCTGTTGCTTATCTTTTATATTGCAGTTTATATTATTGTGTAGGTAGCTGAAGATTAATATATTGATTACCACTGGGCTATTTTAAGTATGGTATGATTGGTTCTTATTCCTTCTATGATAAAACACTATTTCTAATTAGAAATAATTCCATGGAAACAACTGTTTTGAACTTGCCACCCACTAAGCCATGGTTGAGAGCTGGGCTGATACTGTCAAATATTATGGTTAAGGAACAGCTTCTTGTCTTACTGTAAATCCTATATAAAGTGCATTAAAATAAATCTATGTGTTATTTCATGGAAGGAGACCGTTCATTTCACATGTTGAATTCAGTGATGATGATACTCCTAATAATAACAATGTTCCATATAGTTGTTGTTATTTATATAATTACTTGTATAATTGCCTTTATAAAATATTTTCAAATATAATAAAACTGAAAGGGGACATTTTTGTAGTTAGCCGCGCAGCTATCCAATAGTAATAGCACTTAACATTTATATACCACTCCATAGAGATAGCCATACAGCGCTCTCTCAGTGGTTTACAGATGATAGCATATTGTCTCCAACAATCTGGTCCTCATTTTACCAATCATGGAAGGATGGAAGGCTAAGTCAATCTTGAGCTGGTCAGGATCAAATTCCCGGCAGTGGGCAGAGTTAGCCTGTAATACTGCATTCTAACCACTGTGCCACACATATGCTTCCATTCACATTTTGCACTGTGCAACATGTGAATGCGAACATATGTGGTATGCTCCCAGTGCCCCACATCACTGATTCTCAAGAAATATTTGTTTTAAGGTGTTCCTGAGAGGTTCTATGTATGTGCTTATGCAAATTCTGAATCACATTATTCCCTTCAAATTTGGATCACTGTACAGCACTGGTAAAATTACATTGAAAGGTTATTACAGATTCAGATTTTCAAAGATTCATCAATTGAATCTGTAACTTAATATTTTTTAGACTGTCTCACTAACACCTTGGCTGAATTAAAATCTCACATGTTGACCAGTTTCTTTTTCAGTCACATACCAATGTAATATAGTATTTATTTCATTTTCTATTATATACCAACAAATTTCCTAGTTATTATACAGACGTTTTAAGGTTTTCTAGGAAAGTTACTTGATGAAAAGGACTGTTAAAGCACCTAAGTGGAAATAATTGCATGCTAAAAGGTCTGAATTTAAATTCTTGTCTCCAATCTTGAAGCTGTTTGCATACACGTTTTATTTCCAGGACGCTTTGGGAGTTGAAGAAAGTCCAATCTCTTTAATGAAGATCATGAATGGCAATCTTGATACAATATCAAATGTTTCAGATCAGTTCTACAACGAGGTAGGGATTTTGCTTCTTTATTTCAAGTTTAAGCTTACCTATTAGGAAAACAGGTAAAGTAAAAATTGGTAAAGTAGACCTGCAAGTAGAAGATACACCACAACATTGAATTGAATTGGGTAATTATAAATGTTTAGCTCTGTATTTACTGAGTGAAAATCTGTTTCAATAAAGAAGCAGAAGATTTCCTTATTTACTGTAAAGCTTATCTAAAGCAGCGAAGATTATTATGTGCCTCCACAGGTTATTTTATTTTATTTTGCCCGCCTTAGAGATTTGACTCAGCTGAAATATTTAATATTTTTCTGCCCTAGCAGTGTGCATGTATGTAAGTGTGAGATATGTGGAAAATTTGTGTCTGTGTGTAGCTTAAATTCCAAAATACGGCAAAATTAAGAGAAAAAAATCAGCTAATATTAATATATTGATTAAAATTAATTTCTTGTAAAATAAGAGTTGCAGAATTGTTCCTCATATCTGTCAATTCACATGTAATATAATCACATACATCCCCTTGCAACAACAATTACAATTAGACTGAAATAGGCACGGGCAAGAACAAAGGACAAAGAAAAGTCTGAAAACAACAAGAAAGGGTTTGAACCTTTGTAGTAAATTGCACAGAGTTTAGTAGTTCTTATTCCCAAATTGCTGCTTAGCTCAGCCTACTTAGCAGCTCTAAGAAATGTAAGAACACTGTCAAAAGAGTCTTATTTTTGTTACTCTAAAATGAATCGGGATCAGTTAGGCTGTAGGGATAATAATAAATTAATAAAATAACAAAAAGGAAATCCTAGCATGCTTACTATAGAATAAAGGCTATTGAGTTCAATGCCTTTGTCTACATTCATGGTGGCTCTTTGGTCTTTCATGGAATCCTGATCTCTACCTCACTTATGGTCTTCTTACACATCTTCTGGTGCATGGTAATTTGTCCCTTCTCCAATCATTACCTTTCATTATTTGCAGCAAAAACTACCACCTCTACCTTTTACTGGCTCTGTTAAGCTTTTCTTAGGGATTGTAAGATTATCTCTTCTAAAATTCAAATGCAAGTATTTATAAATGCCGTTACTTTTCCACTGAAAAAGTTTTTAGCATAGATGTTAAGTATCTGAAACACTTCACTCTTTCTGCAGCATTTATTTGATAAAAACAATATAAAATGCTATTTTTACCAAATAAAAAGTTTGTTTTGCATGTAATTGAGTGACAATTGTACATATGTTCCTTATTCTTTGTTACGGTAATTAAGAGTCACAATTTCAATGGCACATTTCATAAAAATATATATTTGCTTTTTGTACTAGTTAACAAGAATATTAGAAAGAGAAGAAAATCTCAACAATGCTACAGAAAGTACCTTGAACAAGAGTAAAGAATTGGCTAAATTTATCAACACATTGCAGGCATCTATGAAAGGTAATGTGGTGATTGGCTTGGGGCTGTTATAGTTTTGGAGTAGAAATATGATGGAGTGGGAATAAGATATTTATAAATAAAAATCTATTGTTTCTGCATTTGTATAAAATGATTTTTAAAATCCTTTTTTCTTCCCAATTATTTTTTTCTTTCTCCTACCAAGTGCTTGTGGAAATGGCAGCTACTCTTAACACAACAGGAGATAGTGATTTCCCACAATCAAATAAAACACTTCAGAAATTGCAAGATGATATTCCCATGATGTTGGACATAATGCGTAGAAGGTATTCCCAGAAACTGCATCAAGATAGTATACATGAATTAAAGTAAGTTTTTTTGTGGCTTGCTGCAGTTATCATAATTAATATTTAAGACAAGTAGAGAAAAATGTATCTGTCCTTTTATGATAAGAATGAATTGCTAAATGTAATTTCTAAGATGCTTAATGTATTAAATCAAATTAAAAGCTTAATGTCATAAAACAACAGGATTTTCATTAAAATTAGAATTCATAATTTTTTAAAGGCTTAACACGATTCATTGATTTTTATATGTGCTTTAAATTTAGCACTAATTTCCAGTTCCAGGAATTATACGGTCTATTGTACATAACTCATATCTCATGCAGATAAATTGTTTCAAGCTGTCTTTAGAGTAAATTGATTTAGAATTTAGATTTAGAATATGTTAGAAGTAGAGGGTGAAATATCTCGTATTGGGATATATATCAAAGATATTTAGCAGTCAAGATTTCACTTGTGATAAAATCCAAAAACATGTTTTAATGTAATTTTGTATGGGTTTAGACATAATTAAAATGGGAATTTGTAAAAAAAAAAAAAAGGAAAATAATGAAATCTGATTTAATGTATGAATAAATTTGTAAAATATATTTAAAAGAATTGAGAAATATTCTTAAAGTTATAGTCAAGAAGATGCCATCTAAGAAAACATCTTTTGATTCCCATCAAGAGTTCTGATACTTTTCTACTCAGTTTTCTGCTCTTGAGACCATGGCAAGAATAAATATTAAGCACGTTCACCACGTTATGCCAAACAGATGAGTTTAACAATTTGGAATATGAATGCACAGAATGTCTTATGGAGGTTCTCAGTCATCTGGGTCATGTTGTGCCAAAGGTGCTTCTTCAGAACTAAGAAGCCTCTTGGATGAGAAGCAAAACATCTTCAAGGAGCAAACAAAGTCCAGCTGCCTTTTGAAAAAGCGCTTTTAGAATGCACAGTATGTTAGTGTTCATGGTCTTGTCACTAAATAGGAGATAGTTTATCTCCTTTCCTTTAAATATTTTGGGAAATAACATCTTGTGATATTCAAACACAGGTCATACTTTAGACCATCCAAACAAGCCAAGATTAAATGCAACTTTGCATTTTATATCATAAGCACTAGTCTGTAATCCTAGGATAATGATTTGATGGAATGATAGGTGACTACAAACAATGTAAGTAAACAACAAAGCCAAATTTCTCATTAGCTATATGAGACAGATCTTAACTTCCTCTAGTGTGGCTTTTACTTTCAAGAGGATTACATAACTTTGTGTATGTCTTCTGTATGTATTAGAAGTGCAGAAAAGTTGCTGACACGAATCCAGAGAGAATATTGGAGACCACAGCAAAAAATTAAGGACATTCAAAAAGCAGCAAAACGTGCCTTATCTGACCATAGCTCCAAACATCAAGAAGCCCAAGATGTTGTGAACATAGCAAACAGTAACACTGAAGAGGCTAGACGTCTGCTTGTTCCTATTAATAACAACCTCAATGAGTTCAATGTAAGAAGACTCACAGTATATTTTACGTGATTTGTCTGACTGTGTAAAATAGTCTTTAAAGAAAAAAAAATTAGGTTTAATATTCACATTAGGCAAAGTATATTGCACTTAACATTTGCATCCCTTTAAGCATAAAGGGATTTTATGTAAGATATACTTACCTCTGTAATAGCTGATATAAAGTTTTAATTATACCCAATGTTGTATTCAGAATAAAAAGCTAAATGTTAAAGAAGATGAGGCTCTTTCTGTTATGCTGATAAAAGAAGGAAAAATCCAAACAACTGCTGCTACCGCCTTTGCAAGGGATATATTTAATTCTACCTCTGTAAGTCACTGAACACTCATAATCCTAATTTATACATGGTTAATTACCCATAATATGATACTAACTAAGCTTGAATGTTTAGGATCTAGAAATCCATCAGGATGAATTGATGTTATGGAGTAGTAAATTAAGACAACATGTGGATGACCTGGTTATGCAGATGTCTACTCGAGGCGCTCTTGAACTGGTCTATAAGACAGAAGACCATGTTGCTGAGTTAGAAAAAAATGTTCATGCATTAGACAGGTAAGAGTGTCATCAATAGATTAAGCTTTATTTAAAGAGATAGCAGGCAGTCTTAGTGTCTAAAATGTCTGTCTACTAGAAATGACTTTCTGCCTTAAAGATTATTAGACACAAAACTTTTACATAGGAAATATAAAACTTCCAGTCTAGAGTGTGGAATTCAACCCTTACATTCAAACCAGAAATTAATTATGAATTCTGCATACCTATAATTTTAAGGACATAGATTCTATATGCATGTGATTCATGAAGTTATGACAGGTGCTTCAAACAGATGGTCACAATTTCCTTCTTCAGCAATTATAACACTGCAGCTCTTTTGAGTTTATGTTTCTTTTATACTGTACTAAGCTCTAACATACTTAATTGCTACATATAGCTAGATAATGTACTACTGGAACAGAAATGCATAAGCTGTTTTATTTAGAATATAATATAATTATTCAGGGAAATAAACTTTCAATTGTGACAGAACAGTGGAATTAATGACTGTTCAATATGCAACTTTTATTCTATGTTTTTAAAATAACGCAATGCTATTTTGTTTCAAGTGCATGTTGTAAACCACTGAGTCATTTAGGCGAGATGGCCATTGTAGCAATTTAATCAATAAAATAAAATAAAATAAATAAACTGTTCCAAATATAAGGCTTAAAATAGGTTCTAGGTTCTAGTAAAATCTGATAAGTATTTTAATAGGTTTAAATTCAATGCAAAAGGTATAATTTTCATCTTCTATTGCAGTGGCCTTTTGAATGTTAGAAATGTGACTGTGAATGTGACAAATTCTGTCCATGTGTACTCTACCATAAAAAATCTAGTTGAAAGTGCAGAGAACCTGGCAAGTGATGTCACTAAGATTGTCTATGAACCAATACATGTGGTGAGTGCATAATAAGTCTGTGTAATATCAATACAGATATATATTCTTCAATATAGATATTCATCATTCAAAACTTATATGCTAGAGTTATTTTGGAACATCTGGGAGTGAAACCCTTCATCTCTTTAAAGGAGCTACATTTTTTTCAGACTTCTAGGTAAACCTGGGAAAAATGTATGGAGTTGCCTCATGAAAACACCTGTGTCTCTAATGCAACTCTTTAAAGCAGCTGTGTCTTGAGTATGTATAGCCTGTACCCCACAATATCAGATTTTTAAAAATTCTACACATGAATTTGTTTCCTTTCTCAAATAAATGAAAGGCTTTGGAATGTTCTAATGGCTAACCAAAATGCCCAGATTTTCTTTCTAATTATGAAATTATGTAAGCTTAAAAAAAATAACTACCACTACCATGCAACAGAAGTAGCTTCTGACTTGTTCAAAAGCTTGTTCAGCAATCATATTTTTTTCTTTGTTGAAAGCTCTGTATTGAAATCTATAAAAACAATATTTTCCTGATCTTCTGAAAACATAATGAAAGTTAGGAATGATAAGTATCTCCTTACTTGTACAAGCTTTTCCTTTTAAGAAATTCAGTTCATTGAGAAGAATTGGAAAGTTTAATTGTTTTCAATTTTAAGCAGACCTAATCTTTAGATCTTTGTGATGTGACACCTGGCTAACCCCTGGCATGATCCTTTTTTTTCTTACTGTGTACATGGGTTAAGGGATGAGACCCTTCTTCTTGAGGTCAAAGTTCCCAGAAATCCAAATAATTATGCACAATGTAAGCATTTGGTACAACCCGTGATCTCTGGGAACAAGTCCCAAGCCACAGTAGCAAGTATGGAATGTGTTGATGAAAGTCAACTACATCTGTACAAGGCCATTTTAGCAAAATATTTGTGTAAGCATTAATGGTCTTCACAACACCCTATTTCTAATATAGTTGTGTGTTATGTATGTGAAGATATGTTTTTATGGTTTTCTGTCTTATGTCACATATTAATCTGATGTGTTTGATCATAGGACTGAAATTGAAAGCTTAAGCTAAAATAATATAAAACTATAGAAATGAGGTTTTTTTATAGCCACATGACATATAGCAGGGTTTTCCAAAAATTATGCTTGAATCATATAATATTAATATTGCTTTTTCATTATTCGTAAATGTTTTCTTGTTGTGTGATTGTTTTAAGCAAAGAGAGCCCTTTAACATTACTGGGGAAAATGTCCTTCACCTTGGCTCCACGGTCTTAACTGATGCAAAACATCTTGACAAGAAGTATGATGGTAGGTTTCATTACATATAGGTTGAGATATTAATTTTTGCTCAGTAGTGAAGCTTACTGGGGGATGTTACATCTTTTATCGTCATAAGACTCTTGTGCTAATAAAAGCAAGGTGTTTACTCCACCTGAGATCTTTGCAGGGTATAAATATTGGTTGCTGTATATTAGCATGAGAAATTTTGTAATAAAGAACCTATAAACCTGGGCCACTTAGAAGTTGTTCCCCTGGATGCAATAAAACAGCCATCTGTTTGGCACAGGCTGCAATTATGTTTTAGTACATTTTTATATGTGATCCCTGCAACCTTTGGCTTTGCTCATTAGTTTAAGCTATATGTAGGCATCTGCTGAATAGGCATCTTTTTAGCATAGAGGGCACAGATTATATAAGGCACAATTCACTGCTTTTAGTTTATTACAAAAATTAATCTACTGCTTTGGATTTACAACTATTTTTCTCTGTAGGACTCAGGTCAGGGTTAAATGAAATTAACATAAAAGTGGAAAGACTTAAAGCGAAAGCCAGTGGAATTGCAAAAAGGTTTAATGATTCCCTACTTCAGCTGACTGCATTGCCCAGAGGTAAGGGAAATTCATCTTGATAATACTGTCCTTCATTCTGTCAGGCAGATCTATTTAACTTCATCAGCACAGGAGAATCTTATCTTTTTATTTCAGATTTTTAAACATTTATTTATTTATTTTGAAAGCATGCGTGTAAGAGAACAATATATGGTTGCTGTTTTCAGCATATTTGCATTTGTTTAAAACAAAAAAGAACAACAAAATGAATAGGAAATAATTAGTCTTACATTGCTGTGCATTGTGCGAAGCAAAGATTCATTGGCTGGTTTTCTGGTCATTAAAGCTCTGAAACCTAGCCATGCTGAAATAGGATTGCAGAATTGAATGGTATTTTATTGGTCTTTATGGCTAATAAACCATGATTTAACACTGCATGTATAAGTAATAGCCAGTTGTAGCAAGCTTTATAATAGCAGTTTTTTATATTAACAATTAGATGAAATGGCATTCATTTCCTTTTCCAGGATAGTACTACTTTTACTTCTTCATTGTAGTAGACATCACCTAGTTAATATACCAGAGCTAAAACAAAACCACAATTTAAAAAATCATATAATTTTTTATGAATAACTTTTATATGTATAACTATATATATAACTTTAGTTTTCCACATTAAATCTGTTTTTGATGGTCAATTCTTTAAGATTAAAACCAAAAACCAAACGAATTCAGGACACTATGAATATGGCTTAAAAAGAACCCTAAATTTAACTTAATTTGACAGGTGTCACAATAGAATGGTGGTTGAGATAATCAGTATTGTTTTATGCCCAAAGTACAAAAGCAAATGAACTGCTTACAGACTCACAATCTTCTTAATTCCAGACCTTGATAGATATATAGCAGGGTCTGATTATTCTTGTGTTCATTTAATTGTAAGCCGACCAGTTTATGGAAAGCCTTTATTTCAATTTATATGAACTTTAATAGTCCCTCCATATAATAGGGGATCAGTAACTAAAGGAAGTGGGCAGGCATATGCTTAGATGTAGCTGCATCAAGAAGGTTTTTATTGTAAGATTACTTGTTTAGTTGCAGACATAAGATAGTACTGCATTTATCAGAGTAGGGTACACTTTAAGTTTAGGGAATTAAAATAAATAGAGATTCTGATCGCAGATCTTCTGTACTAGGTTCATTTTGTTCCTGAGGGTGATAGTAACCAAGTTGCAAAGATTGAGTCTTCTACTCTTTGCAAGCAGGGTGATAGATAATGAAATTTATGTTGATCATTTGTTTCAGATACTAATGAAAATATTTTGGCAATAAAAAGGCTGGCTCTTTCTGCTAATTTGACTTCCCTTAATGGTATAAGCCATACTGACGGTTTTAGTGAGAAGCTGTGGAATTCTTCATCTGCATTGTCTAAAGTTAATGATACATTGCAGAAAACAAATGAACTTATAATTGACTCAACAAATGCTGGTAGGTTTGCTGCTTGATTGCTTACTAGAAATGTTACTGCATGCAAGAGTGGGATTAATTTTTAATCCAAAGCATTTTTTATTCTATTCACATTGAAAGTAGTTTGTACTAGTATACTTTGATATGGTGAGAACTTGTGATTTTTTTTTGTTTGAAAGTTGGCATTTTCAGACTAGCAAGGCTGAATGAAACATCAGTAAAAAATTAAATGTACTTAGTTACATATTTTTTGTATGTGTATTCATTATTCATTTGCAGTTTAAAACACAAATAAATAGTTAGCAGAATTGCCCCAAAAACTCTTTTTCAACTCTTTATCTCCACTTCTGTTTTGGCAGCAGCATCAGCTGAAAAAAAAGTGAATGAAGTTGAAATCCAGGCTGGTCTGTTATATGGAAGATTGAAACCTCTAAAAATACTGGAGGAGAATTTAAGCAGAAACATCTCTGAAATTAAAGAGCTCATAAACCAGGCTCGCAAACAGGCAGCTTCTGTAAGCACCTAACCTTTTTTCTGTGTTCCAGAAAAGAAACCACTATTTTGTTTCAGGATATATCCTAAATAGTTGCATCATTGTAATAAACTATAACTGACAAATTACATATGTTCTTTAATGTAAAGTACAGCACATACCCTAAATAGTTGTATCTACTATCACTATGGTAGATAGTGAGGGAGGAAAGGACTTGTCTTTTTCTTTAAATAATATTACACTTCCATGGCTGCCTATGAGCTTTCCGTTTAAAAAATGTAGTTTCAAAGAGAACAGGTGCATGCAATGTATGCATAATTAGTATAAACTATTGATTCTATTGTCAAAGCTCTCCAAGGCCTTCCTGGACGACTCTATTTTCATCCCAGGATGTTCTTCGTTTCTTTCTAATAAAAGGAGAATATTTGTAGCTCAGGTTTGAAATGAGAGGTCCTTGGAACTCTCTGAATGTGGTAATTTTTTTGCAGACATTTCATGTCCAAACCAGGTAACATCATCAATGCTAAATGATAACTAGTAGTGATGATGTTTCCTAGTTTGGGTAATGAAACATCTGCAAGAAAGCAACCAAGTTCAGAGAGCACCAAGGACCCCTCATCACTCCATTCTGCATAGTGCTGGTTTCAGCTATTCAGAAATCCATGTTCCCTCCTAAAACTATCACCTTAGGGATTACCTAACCCAGAGGTCTCCAAGACTTGTGGACTTCAACTCTCAGAATTCTCCAGCCAGCTATGCTGGGAATTCTGGGAGTTGAAATCCACAAGTCTTAAAGTTGCCAAGTTTGGGGACTCCTGACCTAATCCATCTGTTCCAGTCTTTTCTCAGAAGCCATACTTTCAATATGGCTTTTGTTTCAATCATCTAATTCCCACATCTTAGGGAACATAAGTCCCTGATCAAGTACAACTAACCAGGGTCCTGAAAAAAAACATGCATTGTTTTCCACTATCTACTATTTCCTCAATATGTTTTACATTGTAGGATGTACATAGCAGCCCCCACCAACATCATACAGAAATACCATTTGTTATTTGGGTGGAATATAAAGATATAGAGAAAGATGCTCCCTCCCATTGGTTGATTTTATTTTTTATTTAATAAATTTATGTGCTGCCCATCTCACTGACTCCTACATTTGATTAGCAATAGCAACAGCACTTAGAATTACATACCACTTGATAGTGCTTTACAGCCCTCTCTAAGCGGTTTACAGAATCAGCATATTGATTATGTCAAGTATTTTATTCATTAATGTGAATAATATTTCTATGATATCCACTATACATCACCAAATGTATATGTATAGGTGTAAATTGTACCTGCATTATATAAGTTTTTTGTTTTTCCTTTTGTCAGATTAAAGTTGCAGTATCTGTAGAAAAAGACTGTATTCGGGCCTACCAACCCCAGATATTATCTACTAACTACAATACATTAACATTAAATGTTAAAACAATGGAACCTGACAATCTTTTGTTCTATCTGGGTAGCAATGGTAAAGTAAGTAAAGGATTTTATATCTTGATTCTTCTATAGGCCAGGTACTCTACCAAGTTACATTGGGTTTCTACTGAATTATATATCTGACATCCATACAATAAATAAATTGCATTTCAGTGGTCGATATAATGGTTATAAAAGGGTTTTTATACATGAGTAATAATAGTGGCAACTTTAATATTTGTTAGTATGTTAGGTAATGTTGCAAAATAGTTTGGGTTATTATGAAATGTAAGGGTGCAATCTCTTGCATATTTCAAGTATTACAGACTTTAGTTGGTCAGTAATGTATATTCTCTTAAATTTAATATCCTGAATATTCAAATATTAATGATCAGAAAATACGATTCTTGAAACGATATAATTCTCATGTGGCCAAAAACATAGCCAAATGACAAAGATATTATACAAACTGTAATTTGATACATCTAAAGATACTTTGTTGCTTTTACATGAAGTAAACTATGATAGTCAATAGAAATCCATATATAAGTAATGAAACCTTATTTCCT